ATTTCCCTTCCCCTCCGTGAAGCCTGAAGTCAACTAAAGGACTAATAGTAACTATCACAACGCCTGCCATTTGATATAAATAAATATTTACATACTGGAGTGTGCGATAGGCTTATATCGATGTGGGGCAACCTGGGCAACGTATACTCATATGGCACAAATGTCTATCAATCGGTAGTTGACTTCTGACTTCAAACTACCATAACTCCACTGTGTGTCATATTCGTCTGCTTCCACAGTACTCATCTCACCTTTTTTCTACCTTTGCGTCTGTCTCTATTACATCTTTGAAACAATCTTCTATCCCCCCACTCTCGACTTTTTTCACTTTGATGTTCCTTCCCCCCTGTGAAGCCTGAAGTCAACTAAAGGGATAATGATAACTATCAAACGCCTGCCATTTGATATAAATATTTACATACTATATAATTGTTTTCAACATTCCGTCTTAACCTTCTCTCGCAAGCCTAGGTCAACAGTTGTCTGGTGACATCTAATGAACTGATATATCACAGCAGCAGAACTGGATTTCATAGCAGTACCATAGCTTGCAAGGGTCATACTTAACGAAAGTGGGCAACTGAGATGTTTCGAAATATTCATTCATCAGTTGGTCCAAATTGAAGAGGAGATGGTTTGAAAATGCTTGCTTCTTGCCACTGGGGTGATTGAAAGTCACCCCATATGTCAAAAATTTGTGGTAAAAAAACATTTAAAAAGTATAACTTATGCAACTCAAATCGCAAAAATGATCTTAAATGAGAAGGTAGTAGATTATTAGCTAGAACCTACCAACAACCATAAAACCACGTTTGCAGTAAGCTAAGCGTCAAATATACTGTTATTTGGCTATTGAAAATCCGAAACTTGCCACTTTTCCACCAACAGCCATTACTCAAGAAAGTAAATGTCAGAACTCTATGATCGCTCATTTTAAATCGAGCGGCTTATCTAATCGATGTTCCCAAGCTAGAGCCTATGCGCACTTGAGTAATAACCATTGGATTTCTACGTCAGACCTTGCACATGGGGCCCACATTGTCTACCCAGTTATTGACTAACCAATCAATTCTCAATTCTTTTCACGACCAAGCCTATTGAACTACATATCCCTCTTCTCATTTCAGGAACAATCGTCTTAGTCTTAACAATGTTCCACGAAAAAAACCTAGTAAGAGAGCAAACCAGTAAGCTAGCAGACAAAATTGTTCATCAAACACTGACTTACCTAAGCAAAGTACTAAAGTGACACCGATTCATTTATACTTCCTCATTTAAATGAGCATCCACAGAAATACAATTAAGAATCGATTTACGCGCTGAAATTTCTCTCAAAACAAATAAATTTTGTGCCACTTCACACATGCAGATTGTCTTTGAAGCTTATAATGCGCTGGACAAAATGGAATTAAATAGTACTGACGTGATTAATTGCAAGTGCCTATGGCGAAGGCGGTGGGGAGCCAATGGAAGTTACTCAGTTTGAGGGACAACAATATGCACCATCTGAGTCATAATTATTTGCAAGAGGAACAATGGAAGCGAATGACGTCATGAAAGGATGAAACAAAGTACGGACTAACGAATCGATGTGGATAACATTCCCCCCTCCCCCCCCCCACCCCACACCCACAGCCGACTGTTATGTTATGATAAGCTAAGATTGGTACATTTTTTTCAAATCACACAATAGTATTTTCACAATTCTCCTATTCATGGTGGTTCTCCACTTCCTTCTTAATGACTCTCAAACCTGCAACGGAATTCATACAATTAATCATTGTCTAAACTCTAACAATCTTCTCTTGCAAAAAAAACCCTCAATAGCACTGAGAAAGCAGGACGTTTAGAGTGAAGAGCATTTATTACAAACATATTTGCTGCCAAAACACGAACAGCAAATGAATGCATTTAAAGCAACTTTGAATGAATAGTAATAGTTTGATTAGCTGAGAATGGTTTCAGTAGCATGACGGAGCTTAATTACCTGAATGCGCTTCAACAGCTCTATTTGTTACATGAGTCATTCTACTATTCCTATGCACAGTGGGATTCGCCGTTACCACTACCATTTTCAATATTGATTTTTTTCAATCATATTGGTAATTAATGATTACATATATAAGTAGATTATATTCTAATTCCTGTAAGCTAAATTCGAGTTCTTTCCCATCTCTAGTGATATAGGAGAGAATTTGGAAAAAAGCAATAATCAAAAAATGGGAAAAATAGTTATGAAAGGGCATTTAACCGAGCTCTTCGCTATCGCAATTGCTTTCTTTCTTTGTATTTCAGAATTTAAGGCCTTGCATTGAAGAATGCTCATGAATTTTTATAAATAATTAAGTATTTAACCAAAGTCAAAATACTAGTCTGTTTACCCTTATGATTTTCAAATATCAAGTGCGTTCATTAATTTGAAGTCACATGTCACTTAATGGACTTTATACTTAAATATAAAAAAGTAGACTACCAGTAAATTTCGAAGTAGCATAATTTTTGACATCCAGTCATATATATATTGTGGACAACAGTTAAGACCAGTTAAATTCTTAACTAAGCGAATGGAATTGTTTAAATGAGTTGAATGAGTTTAGAGGGAATCCTAAATCACACGCAACGTATTGAAAAGATTGATCGATTAATTCAAATTTAATTCATGGTTTAAGTCACGTGTTGGCCAGTTGAAGTTATATATCACATGGGAATCAAGAACTCGCTATTGCTTCAGTTTACCCTTTTCTGTGTTATTATTATCCACCTCTCAAGGTCAGACATTCTTGAAGACAAGCTATGGTCAGCTTGTACCGAAGAGCAAGAAAAGCTTTGCCATCCTGGAAGATGCAAACCCGCGCCCAGAGATTATCCAGAATCCTATACATGCGACTGCACACGACATACTTACCTAGATAGAACATTTGATTCAACGAAGGATCCTCCGATTGTAGCACAGTGCTCCCCTTTACTTTACAACCCATGCATACAATGTCATGAAAAGAATACTATCAAATGCACACCAACTTCTAATTCAAGTAGTATTTGCCACTGCTACCAGGAATATAGTGAAGCATCTAATTGCTTTGAGAAAAAGAATCCATGTGAAGTGATTCCGCTAGGAGCTAGTCAATCTGGAAATGTAGCCTGTAAAGTAGAATTTGGAAATCTGTGTATTCCACAGATGGGAACGCAGAAATATACGTGTATTTGTATGACACCCTTTAGAGCATCTAGAGATCTCAATTTTCCAAATTGTATGGGAGAACAAGAAACACCCTGTGATAGACAACTATGCGTTGGATTTCAACCATTGACACCAAGGGATACTACTGTAACTCCGAGAAGTGTTATTATCGCTGGAGTTCCGGAATCAGGATACGAAGAAGGAGCAAAATGTGTTGGAAATGGAACATGTGTTTGCCCAAATAACTGGCATGGTGAACATTGCATAAATTGGCATGCTAGTCCACTAGAGGTTTCCTGGACATCGTATACGGCTTGCAAACCTGAGTGTTTGGATAGAAGCCTTCTCTCACCTTTAAGCGATGCAACTGGTATTGGGTACAGAGTGTCGACATCCTTTTGTGATGCAGAAGATCAGCGTTATTGTGAAGGAACACTGAAGAGATGGATCCGTTGCAAAGTGACTACTCTCTGCCCAAGAGAAGATGAGAAGGAAACGGAGAAATTTGAATCAGAAGTGGCTAAAGTATCTGCTGAAATAATGAAGGAATTTTACAATAAAGTAATGTTAATTAAAATTACCATTCTACTTATATGTTTTTAGTACGCTAGTTTATAATAATGCCCAATTGTAGGATGTAGCTGTTCAAATGGAGTCCCCTGAATTGCTGATTTGGTCGGAAAAATGGAATCTATTTTTCATTTATTTCTTGATTACTGTTTTTGGATTTACGTTGACCGTGACACTAATGGAAATTGGTGGAGCAATTCGACTAACAAAGGCGCAGATTAACGCAATTATTGCCAAAGAAGGAGCCGACATGGAAGGCAGAAGATTCGATTTCCGACGCGTAGTAATCAGAAGAAAAGGAAACGAAACTGTGGTTTGAAAAGTGTTCATTGCCTGGCAAGCATATTAAGATTAATATGAACGTGATAAATACATTCGCTCATAAATGAGCTAAAACTTAGTCTAAGACTTCACACAGGCAAAAGTGTGATACTTGCGATAACGTAAGTGGTAGATAATTTAATTTGGATTAAAATTGAAACATTTAGTGCCATACTGAAGCGTAATTAGTTTGACCTCACGGGCATGAATGCACGAATTTGCAATTTGGTCAAAGGAAAATGTAAAGGAAATTATGGTCCAAATAACTTATTTTTCGCAGAATTATTTATTTATAGCAAATGGCAGGCATTTTGATTGTTATCATAAGCCCTTTAG